TTTGATGGCAACAACTGGAGAGAGAGTGAAATGAAGCAAGTATTGCATGTACCAGAATTGAAATGCAATTTATTTTCAGTGACCTCTGTAACAGATAAGGGATATTCTTTTGAGTTAAATCAAGAAGAGTGCAGAATATCTAAAGGAGGAGAAGTATTTGCATTAGGAAAGAGAGTAAACCAGTTGTACCAGTTATTATTTCAAGTAGAGAATAGTGAGAAGAACGAAAGTCGAGTTTATTTGAGTACCTATCAGAATAAAAAAGAGAAATTGAAAGTTTGGCATGAAAGATTGTCACATCAGAATGTTGCTCAAGTAAGATCAATTTTGAACCAGCTTAAGATTTCATTTATTGATGATAGAGATTTTTTCTGTGAGGATTGTATGTTAGGAAAACTACATGTCTTACCATTCAAGTTAAGTAACAGTAGAGCTGATCAACCAGGAAAGATAATACACGCCGATGTATGTGGTCCAATGGAAGAACAGTCACTAGGTGGAGCTTATTATTTTCTAATGTTGAAAGATGACTATAGCCACTATAGAACAATATATTTTTTGAAGAGAAAATCTGAAGCCAAGCAAAAGATAGTAGAGTTTCTAGTGTTAGGTGAGACTCAAACTGGAAACAGAGTGAAAATATTGAGAACAGACAATGGATTAGAAGAAGTTAATAAAGAGGTTGAGAGTTATTTAGCGAGTAAAGGTATTATACATCAAAAGAGTTGTCCATACACTCCACAACAAAACGGAAGAATAGAACGCGAGAACAGAACAATTGTAGAGGCAGCAAGAACTATACTACATTCAAAGAATCTCGAAAAGAAGCTATGGGCAGAAGCAATCAATACAGTGAATTTTGTCATAAACAGAAGTGGATCTAGTTCAGTAAAGAATAAGACACCATACGAATTGTGGTTTGAAGAAACACCAGATATACGTTTCTTTCAGATATTTGGATCAGAAGCGTTTGTTCATCAACCCAAAAATTTGAGAAAAAAATTGGATCCTTGTGGTAAAAAGGGAGTTTTTGTTGGATACGCAGAAGAGTCCAAAGGGTTCAGAATATATATGAGAAATGAAGGAAGAGTTATAATATCGAGAAATGTGATATTTAAACCAGAATCGAAAGAAGAATCTGAAGAGTTTACGAACATTCAAGAAGATCGAACAGAATACATTGAAGAACTAGAACCAACAATGAACGAATTTCTAAATGAAGTTGAAGAAATTGAAAATGAAGTTGAAGAAACAGAAAATGAAGTTGAAAATATTGATATCAATAATGAAGAAACTGGAGCAAATCAGCAGAACGTCAATGAACAAATAGTAGAAACTGAAGACGAGGAAGAAGATCAAAATGAAGCCACAAATTGTTATAACCTAAGAAATAGAAATTGCTTGCGACAACCTAGAAAACTAGAGGTGTATGATATGGATTCATCATATGAAGAAGAAGACTGTGAAACAGCTCTCATTTGTAGTTCAATCTTAGATGATAATTTGTCGTATCAGGAAGCTGTGACCGGACCGAATAGTAAGCACTGGAAAGAAGCAATAAAGGAAGAATTTAAAGCTTTAGAAGCGAACCAAACATGGATGATCGTAAGAAAACCAATAAGGAAAACTATAATAGACACGAAGTGGGTGTTTAAAATGAAAAGAAATGAGAAGGGTGAACCATCAGTATTTAAAGCTAGACTAGTTGCAAGAGGGTTCCAACAGAAAGAAATATTTGATTTCTCAGAGACTTATGCACCAGTAGCAAAGTTAACAACATTAAGAGTGTTATTGTCATTAGCAAATCAGTATGATTATAAAGTACACCAAATGGATGTTAAGAGCGCCTTTTTAAATGGAGAAGTTGGAGAAGAAATTTTTGTTTATCCACCAGAAGGAATGGAGTTGCCAGAAAATCAAGTTTTAAAGTTGGTGAAATCATTATATGGTTTGAAAAAAAGCCCACATTACTGGAACAAGAAATTTAATGCATTTATGGAAGATAGTGGTTTTGAAAGATCAAAGGCCGATTTTTGTTTGTACATCAAAACTGGAAAGCATGGTAAAATTTACGTCTTACTATATGTGGATGATCTGATAATATGCGGAAATGGTAGAGTAGAAGATTTCAAGGGGAGATTGCAAAACCACTTCCAGATGAATGATTTAGGACCAGTTTCAAACTATTTGGGATTACATATCAAGCAAGAGAAAGAAAGTATTGTGATCCATCAGATATCATACTTAAAGAGAATACTGAAGCTGTATGGTATGGAAAATTGTAACCCAGTCTCTACACCTTTAATACCAGGAATTATGTTTCCGAAAAACCCATCACCAGACAAGGAAATGGAACACAAATGCAGAAAGCTTATTGGATATGTTATGTATGCAATGTTGGGATCTCGACCAGATCTGTGTGCTGCAATTAGCATACTTAGTAGATATCAAAACAGAGCTAGCTTAGAATTATTCGGAGCACTCAAAAGAGTTCTTAGATACATAAAGGGAACTCTGCACATGAAATTGATTTATCTAAAGAGTAACACCAACAACAGAATAATTCAAGGTTACGTCGACTCAGATTATGCTGGAGATGAAGATAGAAAATCCACAACAGGCTATCTTATTAAGGTATTAGACAACACAGTATCATGGGCAACAAAGAAACAGTCTACTACGGCTTTATCATCATGTGAAGCTGAATACGTTGCGTTAACAGCAGGAGTAAATGAAGCGTGCTGGATCAAGTATGTTTTGAGGGATTTGAGAATTGGAAGAACCGAAAGAATTCTAATTTTCGAAGACAATCAGTCTGCTATAAAAGCATCACAAACACCAGCAAATACTGTATGTCAGAATTTAATTAATTTGTTTTAAAACTATTTTTATTGAAGGGGAGTGTTAGGTTGGCAATAAAAACGTTTTTTTAGAGTGTCATTGCAGAATGTTGTCATCTGTCATTTTACTTATGTTTCGTTGTATTGTTTCTTGATTATACTACTAGTTTATTTGAGAGTGAATTCTTTTCCCGCTGCTTAACCTGCTTAAAGTCATCAGTACGCCGGATTGAGCTGTAATTTGAAAGTCGTAGGTAACGGTCTTAATTGAAAAAATACGCGGAAATGGCGCAGTCGGTGGAATAATCGCAACAGTGAATTGAAGCACCAAGGGATATTGAAACTTTTACTCCAGAAAGTTCTGCGGGATTATAGTTTTTCAAACCGGAAATGTGTAGAGGAACGCAACAGCCAATACATGTCGGGACGCTCAAGAGCGCTATCACTTGGGAACAGCTGCGTGGATATCGGAAAAGACTCGATTAGTTGCAACGGCGATAACGAGAAGTTTTCGCTGATTTGATGCATTTTTCTAGAAATTGGCCAATTTTATGGCTACTCGACATTTTCAAACGGAGTTTAAGTTTGAGGAGAAATATTTACTTGGTTTTATTTGGCGCAGTCGGTGGGATAAAAATTGCGACGACTAAACCGCCATCTCAAGCAGGCGTCTACAGTTTAATTGAAGCAGCTATGCACTGCTCCCGCACCTTCGCACATTCGAACCAATTGCAATATTCTGAATAGCATCCGAATGCGGTGGCTAGTCGGCCAACTTAATGGTTGATTTAGCCTCCGGCAGTCAGCTAGTGGTCCCTCGAGTCCTCTCCCAAATGAGCATCTGTCTGGCGCAAGAGATAACGGTCTGATACCGGGAATTGACGTAGATTAATATACAAATTGCACAGGACCGTCCGACATTTGCATACACTTACTCCGAACTCAAACAGCAACCATCGACACCGACCGACATCCCTTGATTGATGCATGTGGTCTGCCACCGAAGTTCCGTCAATCAGCGGGTCGTCGGTAACCAAGGATTAAAGATAGTTTTGAGGAAAAGTGAAGCGAGTTGTAGTTGTGCAATCAGCCAAAGTGGCAGACTATTGCGTCGAACCGGGCCACCAATAATGTATTAGCGAGTCGTCGTGGAATGCTCGACTTATGAGGGCTTAAAGCAAGGAGGGTGCGATTGTGAAGCTGCACCTCTTTTCGTCTTTCGAAACTGATTACGTTTCTTGTATTTTTATTCAGCGCCATGAAGGGTGGCCTCGCTTTTCGGATTGGCGTCCCGTGTACACAACCGCCGTTCTTCCAAACAAATCTAATCAGATCATACGGTTTTGTTGATTTCAAATTAAATAAGAGTAGAGCGTGTTCATGTTGTTATTAAGTTTTCAGTCGCAACGGTTTTGTCGGCGGTCTTTCAGCAAAGAACGGAAAAAAGCCCCAGAGGATTTATTATTACATCGTCAAAAAGAACATTCATCAAGCTGAATGCCCTGAATAAACACGCCCAAAAAGAAAGGAAATCCCTGGCAGGTATTAATAATAATTTGGTCGGGCTTGAGCAGAAATCGCCGATACTTTTAATTGGGAATGAAATATTCAGGAGCGACAAGTCTCGAAGATCGATACGGAACATAGAAATGGGAATTATTTATTGGCCAAAACACATTCGATTACTTTTGTAATTCTTTCGGGTTCACATGAAACGTTATTGAATTATTGAGGGAATCACACCGAACAATCTTTCCGGTAAAAGCTCGCTTAAGGGATGGTAAAGTGGAACGGGGGAATAAAGAGTTCGTTGACGTTATTGGAAGAGAAGGATCGATAATTTATTGGGACTTCACACACTTGTTTCAAGTTTTTGCATTATTAGCTACGAACGACTCGGGAAATGGAAATTAATATTGATTGGGCTTCCAGAGGGAATAAGAAAGAAAAGTTTCCGGATGTAATTATTTATTCCTTATTCTTAACGAACTAGAAACTTCCAAGAGCGGGGGCACAAATGACATTCGAAGATTCTCGAGTGGACTCGGATCCGGAGGTCGAGTGGCCCGTGGGAGTCGGAAGGATTTTTTCATTTCCTTACAGACTGCATTCAAATTAAAATATGTTTGCTTTTTTATACAATGTTTTACAATAAACTAGTTAATTTGGTTCACACAGACATGCTGTAACGCCAGGTGAGGTAAACACGCGAGTGGAAGTCGTTTGTCCATCAAATTTCAATTCTAGAGTCTCTTGTGTGGAGGTACGACTATCGACAACGGAAGCAACTACAACGAACGAGTTATACGGTGTGACATTAATCTTTTTCGAAAATAGGTTGCTCAATTCTGATACGAACTCCTCGTCATATGTTTCTCTTGCTTCCGAAGAATTACTATCGGTGCCACTGGTACTGTCTTCTTCAGATATTTGGTTGGTTGTTGGTTGTTCTACTAATGAAGGTTCTTTGGATTTCGAACCGACTTCATTAGATGTTTCAGCAGGTTCTTGTGTTTCAGATGGCTCAATATTTTCATTCGAATTTGTTTCAAGTGAAGGTTCTTTGGATTTCGAACCGACTTCATTAGATTTCTCAACAGGTTCTTCTGTTTCAGATGGCTCAATATTTTCATTCGAAATTGTTTCAGATGAAGGTTCTTTGGATTTCGAACCGTCTTCATTAGATTTCTCAACAGGTTCTTCTGTTTCAGATGGCTCAATATTTTCATTCGAAATTGTTTCAGATGAAGCTTCTTTGGATTTCGAACCGACTTCATTAGATTTCTCAACAGGTTCTTGTGTTTCAGATGGCTCAATATTTTCATTCGCAACTATTTCAGATGAAGGTTCTTTGGCTTTCGAACCGTCTTCATTAGATTTCTCAACAGGTTCTTCTGTTTCAGATGGCTCAATATTTTCATTTGAAATTCTTTCAGATGAATGTTCTTCCGATTTCGAACCGACTTCATTAGATTTCTCAACAGGTTCTTCTGTTTCAGATGGCTCAATATTTTCATTCGAAATTGTTACAGATGAAGGTTCTTTGGATTTCGAACCGACTTCATTAGATGTTTCAACAGGTTCTTCTGTTTCAGATGGCTCAATATTTTCATTCGAAATTGTTTCAGATGAAGGTTCTTTCGATTTCGAACCGACTTCATTAGATGTTTCAACAGGTTCTTCTGTTTCAGATGGCTCAATATTTTCATTCGAAATTGTTTCAGATGAAGGTTCTTTGGATTTCGAACCGACTTCATTAGATGTTTCAACAGGTTCTTGTGTTTCAGATGGGTCAATATTTTCATTCGAAACTATTTCAGATGAAGCTTCTTTGGATTTCGAACCGACTTCATTAGATTTCTCAACAGGTTCTTGTGTTTCAGATGGCTCAATATTTTCATTCGCAACTATTTCAGATGAAGGTTCTTTGGCTGTCGAACCGTCTTCATTAGATTTCTCAACAGGTTCTTCTGTTTCAGATGGCTCAATATTTTCATTCGAAATTGTTTCAGATGAATGTTCTTTCGATTTCGAACCGACTTCATTAGATTTCGCAACAGGTTCTTCTGTTTCAGATGGCTCAATATTTTCATTTGAAATTCTTTCAGATGAATGTTCTTCCGATTTCGAACCGACTTCATTAGATTTCTCAACAGGTTCTTCTGTTTCAGATGGCTCAATATTTACATTCGAAATTGTTACAGATGAAGGTTCTTTGGATTTCGAACCGACTTCATTAGATGTTTCAACAGGTTCTTGTGTTTCAGATGGGTTAATATTTTCATTCGAAATAGTTTCAGATGAAGGTTCTTTGGATTTCAAACCGACTTCATTAGATGTTTCAACAGGTTCTTGTGTTTCAGATGGGTCAATATTTTCATTCGAAACTATTTCAGATGAAGGTTCTTTGGATTTCGAGCCGACTTCATTAGATGTTTCAACAGGTTCTTTTGTTTCAGATGGCTCAATATTTTCATTCGAAATTGTTTCAGATGACGGTTTTTTGGATTTCGAACCGACTTCATTAGATGTTTCAACAGGTCCTTCTGTTTCAGATGGCTCAATATTTTCATTCGAAATTGTTTCAGATGAGGTTTCTTTGGATTTCGAACCGACTTCATTAGATTTCTCAACAGGTTCTTCTGTTTCAGATGGCTCAATATTTTCATTCGAAATTGTTTCAGATGAAGGTTCTTTGGATTTCGAACCGTCTTCATTAGATTTCTTAACAGGTTCTTCTGTTTCAGATGGCTCAATATTTTCATTCGAAATTGTTTCAGATGAAGGTTCTTTGGATTTCGAACCGTCTTCATTAGATTTCTCAACAGGTTCTTCTGTTTCAGATGGCTCAATATTTTCATTCGAAATTGTTTCAGCGGAATGTTCTTTCGATTTCGAACCGACTTCATTAGATGTTTCAACAGGTTCTTCTGTTTCAGATGGCTCAATATTTTCATTCGAAACTATTCCAGATGAAGGTTCTTTGGATTTCGAACCGACTTCATTAGATGTTTCAACAGGTTCTTGTGTTTCAGATGGCTCGATATTTTCATTCGAAACTGTTTCAGATGAAGGCTCTTTGGATTTCGAACCGACTTCATTAGATGTTTCAACAGGTTCTTGTGTTTCAGATGGCTCAGTATTTTCATTAGAAACTATTTCAGATGAAGGTTCTTTGGATTTCGAACCAAATTCATTAGATGTTTCAACAGGTTCTTGTGTTTCAGATGGTTCAATATTTTCATTCGAAAGTATTTCAGATGAAGGTTCTTTGGATTTCGAACCGACTTCATTAGATGTTGCAACAGGTCCTTCTGTTTCAGATGGCTCAATATTTTCATTCGAAATTGTTTCAGATGAGGTTTCTTTGGATTTCGAACCGACTTCCTTAGATTTCTCAACAGGTTCTTCTGTTTCAGATGGCTCAATATTTTCCTTCGAAACTATTTCAGATGAAGGTTCTTTGGATTTCGAACCGGCTTCTTTAGATTTCTCAACAGGTTCTTGTGTTTCAAATGGCTCAATATTTTCATTCGAAACTATTTCAGATGAAGGTTCTTTGGATTTCGAACCGAATTCATTAGATGTTTCAACAGATTCTTCTGTTTCAGATGGCTCAATATTTTCATTCGAAATTGTTTCAGATGACGGTTCTTTGGAATTCGAACCGACTTCATTGGATGTTTCAACAGGTTCTTGTGTTTCAGATGGCTCAATATTTTCATTCGAAACTATTTCAGATGAAGGTTCTTTGGATTTCGAACCGACTTCATTAGATGTTTCAACAGGTTCTTCTGTTTCAGATGGCTCAATATTTTCATTTGAAATTGTTTCAGATGAAGGTTCTTTGGATTTCGAACCGGCTTCATTAGATGTTTCAACAGGTTCTTCTGTTTCAGATGAAGGTTCTTTGGATTTGGAATCGACCTCATTAGATGTATCAATAGGTTCTTCAATTTGAGATGGCTCAATATTTTCATTCGAAATTGTTTCAGATGAATGTTCTTTCGATTTCGAACCGACTTCATTAGGTTTATCAAACGATCCTTCTCCTGCAGTTGTAGAAGCTGCTTCTATGTTAGAATTAAGTACAGGTTTTGAAGTAACTGCTGGGGGTACAACAAGTGGTACTTTTTTACTTGGCGACCTAGACTTTTCAAAATGAAGGAATGGATTTCGATTTGAAGGTTTCTTCTTAGATTGCTTACTGGGTTTTTGGTCTGTATTAGGAGGCTGTGAAGAACTAGATGGGTATGAAGGTCCCACATTTGTAGAGGGTACGTTCGTAGAAGCTGCAAAAGTAGAAGAAGTCTCTGGTGTAGTGGAAGTTGTTGTAGAGGAAGCGTCCGTAACTATCGCACTTGCCTCTGTAGATGTGTATTTTGGTTCTTCTGTTGATTGAGTCTTTTTCTCGTCGTCTATTAATAAAGGTTCCTGGGTTTTTGAAGATGTAGATGGTTCGGTAGTTGAAGAAGTTGATTGTGTAGATTGGTCTGTCGAAATTTCGTCATTTACGATTTCAGCTGATTCCGAATTATTTGGCTGTAATGCAGATGTCTCATCGGATTTTTCAGAAGATTTTAGTGCTCCCACTATAATGGAATCGTTTGGATACGCTGTAGGTTCCTTACTGGATTCTTCAGAGGATGTCTGTGCTGTAGTGGAAATTGTTGCAGCTGGAGCTTCCGTAATAGTCGAACTTGTCTCTGTAGATTTGTTAACGTCAACTTTGTTTTCTGGTTCTTCTGGTGCTAAAGTACTCCCTTTGTCGGATTTCGTAGTGGAAAATTCGGAACTTTCACTTTCCGATAGCTTTGGAAGATCCCAAAGAAATAATTTGGTTTTTCCGCTATTTATGATCAGCACTGGATCTGGATTTTCTGGTGAATCGGGTACTTCAGACGAAACCTCCTCGGGGTTTTTAGTATCGCCAAGGCCAATTGTATCACCAAATTCTTTAATCTTGTTTTTAGCGAATTGTAAGTATTCGTCTAATTTTGTTTGAACTTTATCCCTAATTCCATAATCTCTGTCATTTTCAACGTGAGGAGCTAAACAGAGTTACCTTAAGCAAACCTTCTCTACGACAAATTTAGGAACTTACCAGCATTCACCAAAACTATAAGAACCGCTATAGGAATTAACAGCTTCATTCTGAACATGACACTGACAGATAAGAGCGCCGGAGCGTTTATAAATACAACAAAAATCACGAAAATATTAAGATTTTATGGCAAATCGTGGTTTTGGTTAAACACGTGGTTCACGGTACTTTTAAAATATTTACGAGCATTTGTAAAATCGTGGCTGTGATTAAAACGACTCGAACACGAATTTGTTATTCGTAAATTGTTTAAAGTACAATTTCTGCATTTTATAATATTTATGTGGCGATATTATTTTCGCGATGTCCATGACGTTTTTTTTTGACAGCGACTGACGAAAACGAGCAGTTTTTTTGAGAATTCGACTGGGGATTTTTTTTCTAGACATGGTAAAAGCGAGGAAGTTTGTTGAGACGATGGAAACTTGAAGTCTCGTCGGAGCGACGCTATGAGAGAACTCCTTGGCGGGCTATACAAGGACATTTAAAAATGCGGATTTCCTCCAGGATTGTAGCGTTATAAACGTGCTTGTTAGTATGAAATTATTAGTGAAAGCTTATTATGATAATGCTTAGGGAAGATTAGGCTATTGCTGCCGCATTCAGCCGCTGGATTGTTACCAACAGAGCATTGTGTCCCTTTTTTTGTTTGGGTTCTTTTAATATTCTTAAATAATTTTAATTGTGGAGATTTTTTGTTCGGTTCGTTTGCGTCTTTAAAAAATATTTAATAAAAGTAAATTTCAATTTATAAAACTACAACTGCTTTAGGCAAGACGCTGTCTCGCCCACTTATTTTAAAAATTGCTTTGTCTTCCAAAAAATGCAAGTTACATTTAGTCCACTTTCATGATTTTGTGAAACAGTGCACGCGCGACGTAAAGTTGTGATTTATTTTCTATTTTATTGCAACAAAACTGTCACTATTCCACACACGCTTGCCCCACAGCCTGCTTTAAAAGTTTTAAATTTCCCATTTATACAATCAATGTTTATTTGAAACTGTAACGGCCATACATTTTTTCTCTAATGAAGTGTTTGGAGTGCCGGTCAGTGGTTAATGGGCTTTTATAACCCTGTTTTTATTTTGTGTTTCGCTGATTGTGTGTAATACGTGCGGTGATACATGGTGCTGCCGTCTGAGTCATTTTAACAATATAAAAAAAATATTGTATAACTGGTGGTCATTTAAACGGTCCAGATGTGTTGAATGTTTGTATTTGCAAATTATCGGAGATAACTGCCTAAACTTGGGTTACTTTTGAGTGCTTTGGGGCTTAAATTTATGTCCTGTGTTATTTGTAACATTTGTTTCCTTTTCCTTTGCTGTTTCTTTTGGTAGGTTCCTTGTCTACCCCTCAAACAATCCGACTCGTAACATGATCCAAAGGTAAATGTTTAATTGGTAGCAGCGTAAACACGACCCTTGTATCGAAAATAATTCCTTCCCAAATCAAGTTAAACATCGTCCTTGCATCAACATCCCTCAAAGTTTTGATTTATCTCGCTAAACACTAGTCGGCAAAGTACAGTTTCCTGTAGGTGTCTGTCCCTCGGAGACTTGGCAGAGGGCGCCAGCGTTTGCCTCCTACTAGCCGACCCGATCCCCTCGCCCATAAAAGTAAACAACTGTAATTACGCGTGTGCATCCTCGTATAAATCGCTTAACGTCGCAAAGTGAATTTTCAAGAGACCGAACATAAAGTCGAACAGATAAGGCCCGTGATGGGCTGGAAGTAAGGGCCATTGGGCAAATATACTCGGAGCTGAGTAATCCGGGGACGCAAATCCCCGAGAAGGCGCTATAAGGAAGAGTGCTAAGGGGCTAAGTGTCGCAGAAGAGGGCTGATGCAGCTGGGTGGGGATTTATCGATGCTGAGGGTGGCTGTGCAGCCGTTGTGGTCTAGGGTGTGTGTTGATGAATGTCGTTGAGTAAAACAGGGAAGAGCAGCGCGCCTAGTTCGCTCCCCTGAGTGACCCCACTACACTTTACAATATTAGCAAACACAGTTATCGCACGAAACTCGTTAGTAGTTCCATCCTCATCACGTTAGCACAAACTATCTCCTACACATTTTGGTTTTCATTCCTCGTCACCGAAACAAAACGGTCCTCGCGAACAAACGTTTATTTGTTGCAGAGGAAACGGATGCGGGTCTTTGTGCAATTTTCCATCTCGAAATTTGCATGCTTTGAGATCCGCAATTGTAGCGCATCTTATCTGGGCTCTGTTCAGAACACAGCAATTAGCGTCTGGATCGTTATCGGTCGACTCCGGCAAGCCCTTCCGATTTTAATTCGCACATGAAGCGATAAACGGTCCGAGTTCGCTCGCTCGGCAGGTGATTCGAATAAATTCAATTAGATCCGATTCAATTAAGACGAGAGAACGAGAACTTGGTCCTGTTTGCTGATGGCGGTTCGGCGGCGCCCCCGTAACTGGCACCGGCGATTACAGTTTTTGAACGAACATCGATTTTGCGTACCATAAATATTGTTATTAAATCAAACGCGTGCCCCTTGTTTGAGCAGCAAATTGGACGGAATCTAATTCGGACGAACGGGCGTTTGCGATGCAAATGCGGCAGCGGGAAGGAGGTGACTATGTAGTTTACCGAACAGATGGAGTTGTTATTTTGTCAGTTTTGACGGCCACTTTGAAGCGCACGTGATCACTCCATTTGTTCAGTAAACGGAATATAGTGGGAGTGTCTCTTGTGTTTGTAAGCTGACAATGGTAGGCGAGCAGAAAGCCCACTGGATATTTGATGATAGCCAACACAAAATGGTTACCTGCGTCATTATGTGTTTACGTTGTACAGCGGTTGTGATCCGGCTGTTTTAACCCCGGTGGATGTTACTAAAATTCAGCTCATTTGAAAAATAAATATTCTATGCAACAATATAATTACGGATTCCGCTCCTCAACGCATAATGAAATTATTCCATAAATATTTGCACCGAAATAACAAGCGCATTTTTACTACCAATTAGATTAACAACACAATTTGATTTAATCAGCACTGATTTATTGTTCCGAGCGACAAACACGCTGCCAATTATTTATCAAAATTAAAGCTGATACGTCGGCGTCGGAACACTTCATTTTCAATTTCTTCCCTTACCTTAAAAATTCAACTTTCCCCTTCACCTCTATACGCGAATCTCCAAATGTCTCCCATTGTGGAGCGGTTCGATAAGGCCGCAACAGCTCCGTTTCCACCCCTAATGTGACACCGCGGGGGCGGTTTCGGCGGCGGGAGGCGGCGGCGGAGTCGAATTCTTATCTGGAAACGCGTTCGCGGCGAGCCTATTATCATCAGTTTGAGAAAATGTGATGTTCGCCCAAGTGTAATTAGGTTAAACGTGTTATGGCAATTACCCACTATTAAATGGAATTAAACCAATTTATTCCCAATTGACACGGTCATAATTAAATTTGCATCGCAAAAATGCCTCCATTATCGGAGGCGGCGGGCGCGGCGACGGGGGCCGACAGGCGAGGAGCGGAAAAAATGCATTTGTTGTCGCCGGCGACACGCTAGACGCCATTTTTGCACGTACCATCAAACTAAGATTTTATCCGAACTATATCCGTAAAGTATACGAACCCGTCGATTCCGCGTCCTTTTAGAATTTAGTCGTTTGGCTTTATCGGGGTCGTTACGTCGTATCGCGATGGCGCGTCCGCATATGGACGCAGCGTAATTTCGGTGATGTGCGGACGCAGCGCCGTACGAATGATAAATATGTGCATTTATATAAGCAAAGAAAATTGGCGCTGGATACACGTAAATGGAGGCAGCGCGGAATAAAAGCCCTATCTCCGGTAAAAAATTATCTACCCCAGTGTTCACTCCGGCCAATTCCACAAAACCCGAACCCTTCCTGTCACCGCGTCCCGGATTTGTAAGCCCAAATTAGCGTCCGATCGGGCCAACAATAAATTACAAAAATTCTTCTCTCGTCATCCTTTTTGTGTAGACGTTGTATTCGCGTCCCGCTTTTAATTATACGGATTACAGTGAAAAAAGCTTTGTTCTCGCACCCCTCTAAATTTTCAATAGACCGCAGATCGAAAAATTTGCAAAAGCTCGGCGTCATGTGACATATCACACTTTAATTCCGGCCAAATTGCAACCGACGGTGCGTCCCCGGGGGCGGCGCGACCGGGAGAGGGAAAAACTAGTGTTCATGTGCTGGGGCGACTCCCCTGCTACACGGCAAACTTGATTATTTTTAATTAAAGTCCTTGCTCGCTGCTGTAGGACTGCATGTGCAATAAAATTTAGATTGTTTAGCCTGGAGCGGCTCATTTATTTTTCTGGATTGCTCTTCAGGATGAAACGGTTAGCAAGGGCGAAAGTGGTTTGCGGCGTGTCGGCGCAATCATGGAAATGCAAAGCTGGAAAAAAAAAAATTGCGAATTTTTAAATGACGATCGAGGTACGGAAAATACAAAAAACTAATGTTATTATTACGGTTTTATTGTATGAAGATACAAATATTGGATTGACATTATAGTATTGTTGCCAAGTCAACGACAACCAGACGACTGCAATGAATAGTTTCTTCAACACTCCATGCCCAACAGTTTCAAAAATCTCTGATGTTTTTCTTTTGGCAGTTTCATCTGGGCCCATAACCTGTTATTGTAGCTTTATTGTATGAAAATACAAAAATGAAATTGACGTACAAAATTATTAGAAAGACGTTATTGTTAAGTGCTTACTATATTATTGTTGCCAAGTCCGCTCCAGTCGCTGACTGATCAAGGATAGATAGTTTCTTCGCCATAATATACGTTGGGAAATGTTTTCTCTTGTTTGACGAACTGTCGACGTCGTCCTCAAACCATCCCGATCTCAAAAATTCCACGTCGCCCGCATAAATCCTAATCGAATTGCAGTAACTTAGAGTCGACGACGTGTGTAACCAAGTGCAAGACCCATAAGTATCCATTTCCCGCAAGTATCGAATGCTACGTTCAAGAACGGTCACTATCTACGACACGCTTGCATAACAGGTATCAGACTACACGTTCCCTATCGGAATCACCACCTATAAAAGTTCCATTTCACCCTGTAGTTTTATCAGTCGTCCGACACACATCAAGAAATACAAGACCATGGCAACTAAGGTAAGTAGATTTGTGTGTATTCCAGAGACGATAGCGACGCCACAGAAGCGACTGTAATTGCAAAATGCATTATGTGACATGAAGTGCACCTCGCGTTTTGTTTACGTCGGGTCGACGAAATTGGATCTGGTGGCGGCGGAATCCGCAGACATAATTTATTTATGCATGCAAGGGTTCACCGTTTTGATTTTATCTATTTCGAACGACATCTAGCAAGATAATAGTCAGTCATTATCATCATCGTTATTATTGTTTGATTTAGCTCCTCGTCCTCGCCGCCACCCTCGCCTTCGCAAGAGCCGGCCTCGTGCAGCACGGCCAGTCGGCCTACTCCAGCGTCCAGCAGCACCCCGTCCCCGCGCCGGCCGCCGTCGCGGTCGCCGCGCCCGTCGTCGCCGCCGCCCCCGTCGTGCAGACGCGCGTCGAGCCCTACGACCCCCACCCCCAGTACAACTTCGCCTACGCCGTCAACGACCAGCACACCGGCGACTCGAAGAGCCAGCACGAGACCCGGAACGGGGACGTGGTCCACGGGCAGTACAGCCTGACCGACCCGGACGGGTCTCGGCGCGTCGTCGATTACAGTGCGGGACCTCACACCGGCTTCAACGCCGTGGTCCAGAGGACGGGGGCGCACGCCGCCGCCGCCCCCCTGCAAGTCGGCAACTAAAATCTCGGCCATTATGGGGTTTACGACCGACCGACCGTTTCCGTGCGAACTTGGACGACGATAAAGTGTTCAGTTACATAGTCTGGGTAGTTGTAAGGGGTTGATAATGAATATACACGGTGAGCTTGTAGCGGGTGTTTTATTGGGGGGGGGGTTATTGTATTGGGCGAGCTGGAACGCTTAGCTAGATTGCGGTTTAATTGCTAGTTGTAGTTTTGTTAGTGGATTTCTAATTATTTTGGATCAGTGATTCCCAAATTTTGGCGAGGATTTGAACAACTTTCAGATTTTGTGTAAAGAGAAAAAAAATTATTTCTCCGCCATATAAGAAGTTACCGGAAAAATAAGGGAGGATTCTGAGAAACTTTCCGTTGAAACATATGCCAGTTTGGGAGAATTTGTGCACGTTTCAAATTCTTTAAAAGTTTTACAGGAAATATGATGACATTTTCGTGATGCTGAAAAAATTTCGGTTTGGATAGAAATACTTTGGGGAAAATTTAATCCAGTTTCAAATTTTTCGAAAATATGGTGGAGGCGCCAAAATAAAAATTCAAGTGTCTCTCATTTGACCACCCCCGGGAAACTTTAAAACGGATTTGTAATGCTGAGAAAATTTTAGTACAGGCAAAATGCGTTTCCCGAAAGATTTGAGATCTTTTTACATTTTGTCTAAAAATGGTGGAAGCGCCAGAATACAAATTCGTTTCTCCCCTATTTGACCACCGACAGGAAAAATAAGGAGAGATTTGTGATCTTGAGAAAATTTCGGTTCAAATGAAAGCGTTTCCGGGAGAATTTGGTGGCGTTTCAAATTTTTCATAAAAATGGTGAAGGCGCCAGAATAAAAATGCATTTCTTTCTCATTTGACCACCTACGGGAAAAATAAAAACGATTCGTAATGCTGAGAAAAGTTCAGTATAGACAAGATGCCTTTTCGGAAGGATTGAGTTCTTTTAACATTTTGTGTAAAAATTGTGGAGGCGCCAGAATAAAAATTAGTTTCTCCCTTATTTGACCACCGACAGGAAAAATAAGGAGAGATTTGTGATCTTGAGAAAATTTCGCTTTAAATGAAAGCCTTTCCGGGAGAATTTGGCGGCGCGGCGTTTCAAATTTTTCATAAAAATGGTGGAGACGCCAGAATAAAAATGAATTTCTCCCTGATTTGACCAACAACGGGAAAAATAAAAACAGATTCGTAATGCTGAGAAAATTTCAGTACAGACAAGATGCCTTTCCGGAATGATTTGAGCTCTTTTTACATTTTGTGTAAAAATGGAGGAGGCGCCAGAATAAAAATTCGTTTCTCTCTAATTTGACCACCGACAAGAAAAATAAGGAGAGGTTTGTGATCTTGAGAAAATTTCGGTTCAAATGAGAGCCTTTCCGGGAGAATTTGGTGGCGTTTCATAATTTTTCATAAAAATGGTGGAGGCGCCAGAATAAAAATGCATTTCTTCCTTATTTGACCACCTACGGGAAAAATAAAAACAGATTCGTAATACTGAGAAAATTTCAGTACAGACAAGATGCCTTTCCGGAAGGATTTGAGTTCTTTCTACATTTTGTGTAAAATGGTGGAGGCGCCAGAATAAACATTCGTTTCCCCCTTATTTGACCACCGACAGGAAAAATAAGGAGAGATTTGTGATCTTGAGAAAATTTCGGTTCAAATGAAAGCCTTTCTGGGAAAATTTGGCGGCGTTTCAAATTTTCAAAAAAATGGTGGAGGCGCCAGAATAAAAATGCATCTCTTCCTCATTTGACCACCTACTGGACAAATAAAAACAGATTCGTAATGCTGAGAAAATTTCAGTACAGATAAGATGCCTTTCCGGAAGGATTTGAGATCTTTTTACATTTTGTGTAAAATGGTGGAGGCGCCAGAATAAAAATTCGTTTCTCCCTCATTTGACCACCGACAGGAAAAATAAGGAGAGATTTGTGATCTTGAGAAAATTTCGGTTCAAATGAAAGACTTTCCGGGAGAATTTGGCGGCGTTTCAAATTTTTCATAAAAATGGTGGGGGCGCCAGAATAAAAATGAATTTCTCCCTCATTTGACCACCTACGGGAAAAATAAAAACGTATTCGTAATACTGAGAAAATTTCAGTACAGACAAGATACCTTTCCGGAAGGATTTGAGCTCTTTTTACATTTTGTGTAAAAATGGTGGAGGCGCCAGAATAAAAATTCGTTTCTCCCTTATTTGACCACCGACAGGAAAATTAAGGAGAGATTTGTGATCTTGAGAAAATTTCGGTTCAAATGAAAGTCTTTCCGGGAGAATTTGGCGGCGTTTCAAATCTTTCAAAAAAATGGTGGAAGCGTCAGAATAAAAATGAATTTCTCCCTCATTTGATCACCAACGGGAAAAATAAAGACAGATTCGTAATGCTGAGAAAACTTCAGTAGGGATAAGATGCGTTTCCCTAAGGATTTGAGTTATTTTTACATTTTGTGTAAAAATGGTGGAGGCGCTAGAATAAAAATTCGTTTCTCCCTCATTTGACCACCGACAGGAAAAATAAGGAGAGATTTGTGATCTTGAGAAAATTTCGGTTCAAATGAAAGACTTTCCGGGAGAATTTGGCGGCGTTTCAAATTTTTCATAAAAATGGTGGGGGCGCCAGAATAAAAATGAATTTCTCCCTCATTTGACCACCTACGGGAAAAATAAAAACGTATTCGTAATACTGAGAAAATTTCAGTACAGACAAGATACCTTTCCGGAAGGATTTGAGCTCTTTTTACATTTTGTGTAAAAATGGTGGAGGCGCCAGAATAAAAATTCGTTTCTCCCTTATTTGACCACCGACAGGAAAATTAAGGAGAGATTTGTGATCTTGAGAAAATTTCGGTTCAAATGAAAGTCTTTCCGGGAGAATTTGGCGGCGTTTCAAATCTTTCAAAAAAATGGTGGAAGCGTCAGAATAAAAATGAATTTCTCCCTCATTTGATCACCAACGGGAAAAATAAAGACAGATTCGTAATGCTGAGAAAACTTCAGTAGGGATAAGATGCGTTTCCCTAAGGATTTGAGTTATTTTTACATTTTGTGTAAAAATGGTGGAGGCGCTAGAATAAAAATTCGTTTCTCCCTTATTTGACCACCGGCAGGAAAAATAAGGAGAAATTTGTGATCTTGTGAAAATTTCGGTTCAAATGAAAGCCTTTCCGGGAGAATTTGGCGGCGTTTCAAATTTTTCATAAAAATGGTGGAGGCACCAGAATAAAAAAGGATTTCTTCCTTATTTGACCACCTACGGGAAAAATAAAAACAGATTCGTAATGCTGAGAAAATTTCAGTACAGACAAGATGCGTTTCCCAAAGATTTGATTTCTTTTTACATTTTGTGTAAAAATGGTGAAGGCGCCAGAATAAAAATTCGTTTTTCCCTTATTTGACCACCGACAGGAAAAATAAGGAGAGATTTGTGATCTTGAGAAAATTTCGGTTCAAATAAAAGCCTTTCTGGGAGAATTTGGTGGCGTTTCAAAGTTTTCATTAAAATGGTGGAGGCGCCAGAATAAAATGAATTTCTCCCTCATTTGACCACCGACGGGAAAAATAAAAACAGGTTTGTCATACTGAGAAAATTTCAGTTCAGACAAGACGCCTTTCCGGAAGGATTTGAGCTCTTTTTACATTTTGTGTAAAAATGTTGGAGGCGCCAGAATAAAAATTTGTTTCCCCCTTATTTGACCACCGACAAGAAAAATAAGGAGAGATTTGTGATCTTGAGAAAATTTCGGTTCAAATGAAAGCCTTTTCGGGAGAATTTGGCGGCGTTTCAAATTTTTCATAAAAATGGTGGAGGCGCCAGAATAAAAATGAATTTCTCCCTCATTTGACCACCTACGGGAAAAATAAAAACAGATTCGTAATACTGAGAAAATTTCAGTACAGACAAGATGCCTTTCCGGAAAGATTTGAGCTCTTTTTACATTTTGTGGAAAAATGGTGTAGGCACCAAAATAAAAATTCGTTTCTCCCTTTTTGACCACCGGCAGGAAAAACAAGGAGAGATTCGTGATCTTGAGAAAATTTCGGTTCAAATGAAACCCTTTTCGGGAGAATTTGGCGGCGTTTCAAATTTTTCGTAAAAATGATGGAGGCGCCAGAATAAAAATGCATTTCACCCTCATTTCACCACATATTTGAAAAATAAAAACAGATTCGAAATACTGAGAAAATTTCAGTACAGACAAGATGCCTTTCCGGAAGGATTTGAGCTCTTTTTACATTTTGTGTAAAAATGGTGGAGGCGCCAGAATAAAAATTCGTTTCTCCCTTATTTGACCACCGACAGGAAAAATAAGGAGAGATTTGTGATCTTGAGAAAATTTCGGTTCAAATGAAAGCCTTTCCGGGAGAATTTATCGGCGTTTCAAATTTTTCATAAAAATGGTGGAGACGCCAGAATAAAAAAGCATTTCTTCCTTATTTGACCACCTACGGGAAAAATAGAAACAGATTCGTAATGCTGAGAAAATTTCAGTACAGAGAAGAGGCCTTTCCTGAGGGATTTAAACTTTTTAAAATTTTCTGTAAAAATGGTGGAGGCGCCAAAAAGAAAATTCGTTTTCTCTTTATTGGACCTACTTACAGAAAAAATAAGGAGAGGTTTTGTGATCTTGAGCAAATTTTGGTTCAGACAAGCCCTTTCCGGAGAATTTGATCGAGTTTCAAATTTTTCGTAAAAATTGTGGAGGCGCCAGAAGAAAAATTCATTTCTCAATTATTTGACCACCTACGGGAAAAATAAAAATTGATTCCTAATGCTCAAAAAATTTCAGGACAGACACGATGCCTTTCCCGAAGGATATGACTTCTTTGTACATTTGGTGGAAAAATAGTGGAGGCGCTAGAATAAAATTTAATTTCTCCCTTATTTAGCCACCTACCGGAAAAATAAAAGCAGATTCGTAATGCTAAGAAAATTTTAGTACAGCTGGACGAACACGCCTCATCCCCATCCCCACTCAGCATCC